ACATATTTATGTAGATAGGTTTGAAAGGTTGAGGGAGACAATGGTAGTTGTTTTTTGTTTCATATCTAATAAATTGCGACTAGATTTTTAATAATGTTTAAACTAAATTAAATTTAAAGGATAATTGTAAAAAAAAAATATTTTAATAACTAAAATTAATAATGTACATGAAAAACAAAAACACACAGCAAAAACAAGACCTCATGCAAAAAAAATAAGAGAAACAAAATTATATGGCATCTGGATGACAGACAAAAAAAAAAACGAAAATGGTTCACTCGTTCATAAATTGTTGGCCGAAAGTTGTTGTTGTCGTCGTCGTTAAGTAGCCAAATGACAAATTCAATTTCACGGCAGAGAAATTGAAATGTGCTTTTAAATTGGTAATAAATCATTTTCAGCTCAAATGCAACGTAAAGTGCTGGGACCCCCTCCTGGGTGGCGTTACATGTTTGCCTTTGGTGGAGGGTTACACGTTTGAGGAAGGAAAACTAGTATTCGATATCAATTTCACAATAACAAATGTCGTTTCAATTTTGCCTTTAAGTCATCGTTAGTTTTATTATTATATTTGTTTTTGGTTTGGAAATTAAGTAAACCACTTTAAAGGTGTTAGAGTATTTTTTCGTTTGCTTTTTTCTCACAATTTGCATGTTTTTTTCATAAATTTACATGATGTTGTTTGGTGTTTTAAAAAAATTAAAACCAGTCGAGATAATTAGTACACAAGTAAACACAAATTTTGGAAATGGTTTTAGAACGAATTTTACATTTTATATAAAATAGATTTGTCAAGAGTAAGCTATTTATGGGAAATCTCTTTTCAGTATATTTCCCAATAAAAAAATCTTCAGGCTTTTTCTTACAATTTCTAAATACATAGATAAAGTACGAGGGAATCCTATCTCAACTAAAAATCGTAAATCTCAAATAAAACTGCAGTTCGTTAGTTAACTGCCGCTAAATTTCTTTGTTTTTAACCGGAGTGTGGACATGAACCAGCTTGGTGAATTTCTGAACTACGATGTACGATTTTTTATATTACATATAACAATATTTGTATAATACGTGAATTGATGACGATCTGGGATGATCTGTCGGAATACTTATTCTGTTACATGACCTACTAAAAGTCTACACTAGAACTAATAATGAATAACATATGATCCCAACATTCAAATTCCTATAGTCCTAAATGAACCAATATTTCAATATATCATTTTGTAAATTTTCAATATTTGGTAATTATATTCACAAATAAATCAAAATGCCGTAGGTTCTGAAATTGAAAAAAATGCTGAACTGATTACAGTAGTCCATACTTAAACTTCCATTTCCAAAACAATGTATACTTGTGTTAATTGGAAAAGATTTACATTAATAATTATATAGATACTCACACACACATAGTTGTATGTATATTTATGTTTTACAGATTTCAATGCATTGGCTAAATGAAATATACACGATAAACTTATAATTAAAAGTGATGTTATTAGACAAAATAAAGCCAATCCATATACATAGTTGTGTATGCGCGTGTGTGTTACATTTACAAGTCTGCTCTATGTGATTTGTCAATCGTTTTATAATAAAAATATACAAATATGTAATTATAATAATACAACTAAAATGCTACAGTGGCAAATATTTCCAATTAATTTGTTAACAATTTACTATCGACTTGTTGAAAATTGAATGTGTGATTGACGTTTAGACCTTAACGGCTGCGGTAAACTTCAGCTATTTTGAGAGATTTGAGACATTGTAAACCTGTCCTGAGAAACAATAACAAATTCTTTATTAATTAGTTGCAATCAAACGGCGCCATGTGCCGCAACTAATAGTCGTTAAATTATTATTAATTAATGCCATAAATTGCCACTAGATCAGTACAGACAGACAGCTCAGTTTAGCTTTTGAGTGAAATAGATATTTATTCAGATATCACTGATAGTTTACAAAATGCCAATTGACACACGCTCCAGTATTCAGTTACTAGTACTACTACTACTTTCAATTTATATGGGAATATAACGATGCATTCTTGAATCGTGAGCACTTTAATTCTTATCAATTTAATTACAACAATGTGCAACGAGAAATTGTTTAGAGTTACGAATTCCGCCACATATGACATGATTGTTCTCTGGAGGTGTATTTTCACCAGATGGCGCCAGAGATGTTCACCTCAAAATGTAATATTTAATTTTATCAATTTGGAATTTTTGCATGACATATTATATGATTAACCATGATTAGGGATGATTCAACCAAAAAATAAGAATATTTTTGTAGAAATTTAACGAAAAAAATATTGTTTTCTAATATTGATTTTGTAATTTTTTGCAAATGCCTCGCAGAAACGATATAGAATTTTTCTGGGCCACAATATTGATTTGTATTTATAAGTCAGATATTAGTTGAGATTTGTTGCATTGTGTAATTTAAATTGTAATCAGGTATTTGTTGATAGGTATGTTCTATACCTGTTCTGGAAATATTCGATAACCGATTAAAGCTCAATATATTATAACTATAAAATATTAACAGATAATATATCTATGGCGGCCTGCACAATGAACTTCTGTCACAAAATTGGTCGGTAACTGCAATAAATGCTAGTGAATATTTTAATCAATGTAAATTCTGTCACATTTAAAGACAATGTTTGAAAGATTAACTAACATTATATTATTAGCCAGACACGACTTCATTTCAGTATCTGGTGATATTAGTTCCTTTGATAATCTGATAGCTTGCTTCTGTGTAGAGTTAGGTATTTCCGGAACGAAATATTTGATGGGAACTATTCCAAACACGGAACGATCGGAACTAGTTCCACCTCTTTAATTAATATAGTTTATTTTTCTGACAAGGTCTTTTTTGATTCTTGTTATTTTTCCTGATCTCGTTCCTATATTCCCATATTCTGCATTCGTTCTCGTTCGTTCAAAAAAATATTTTGTGCTTATCGTCATGCAGTTGAATTCTGCTCTAAATAGAAATGATAAAAAACAATTTTTTGTTCATGTTTGCTCAAATTGTTTAATTTTTATCATCTATCAACGAATATGCGCGAAAAAAACCATGAAAGAGAATCAAAGAAAATATGTAGGAATCGGAACTATAGCAGATGAACTATATTAAGAAAGTAGTTCCCTAAAAAACACGAACGAGAAAGATCGATCAATGAAAGGTTATGCCCCTAATGAAGGGCTGATAGCCATGTCGAAACGAGCTGTTTCTAAAGCTTTCTCCGAAAATTCTTAATTTTTCAAAGTTGGATTTTTGACGTTCCAATTAAAAAAATGCTCAAATTCATCAACAACTCTTACCGTTGCTACAGCCTTTTAAGGGTTAAAAAATGGAGAATACTTTTTCTAAAACATAGTTCCCAGAATATTCGACACAGCAGCACTTTTTTCAAACACCACTTTTTTCGATAGTATACTTCCGAAGTGATGACTTATTATGGGAATTGCAAGACGTTGTCATGTTCCAGAAATGTTATATCGACTAGAGTATCTTGAAAAGCTGAAAATGGAATGTCTAAAAACAATATATGCTCCCTATGGCATTTTATTTCTAGCAGCAACTATATCTGCTTTGAGTCCTAAGAATCTGAACAAAAAGTCATTCAACTCGATCTCGTCTCACTTTTTGAGAGGAGCCTATTATTATTTCCAATCCGCTATTTAGCTTCTTCTCAATCTTAAATTTCAAAATTTAAATATGTCAATGTAAAAGTTTAACTTCTCTTTAATACAGCGGAAAATTTTCCTAGGAATACGTAGTCGTGGGCAAATGTTGTTTCTGACCAAATCGAGACCATCTTCCGGTTATATCGATTAAAAATAAATTTTTGGTGAACGCAAATCAACGAAGAAATTTTTTTGTGAGTTGTTGTTAACAGAGAAAATCGAAAGTCGACCATGAAAAGTCGAGTTTTCAATTTCCTCCATGATCAATTAACGAATCCCTAAATTTTTCGGATGATGTCTTCCAAGCGATTTTATTATCGATATACCGAAAGTTTAGAGATTAATACTTCGCGGTGTTACAAGTAACAAACTCGTAGTACCCTCACAAAATAGTTGTGTAAAATATAAACCATTTTTAAACGATTGAGCAACAGTCCTTGAAATTCATTAATTAGTACAATTTTATGACAACAACATTAAGGGAAATTTTGCCACTGTAGCTCTGAGTAAAAAATAATTTTAATATTTAAGGATGCGTTTTCGGATATTCTAATCGGGTGTACATTAAAATATACATATATAATATAAAGATTCAGATTGTTACGTTTCATAAATTCTAAATGCAGTTTCGTAGACAAAACTTACTAAAATGTAAGGGGGGAAGAATAACAGTAAATACAATACAATACTAATAATAGAACTACAATATTTCATATATATAAAGATTATATTTTAGGAGGGAATTTAAAAGATATGCTGTTGCTTTTGTTGGTAGAACACTGATTTGCTGCAAGTATTTCGGATTTCAAATTTCGTCTTCTCTTTTGGGTGTCTTCAATGTATATCCAGTATATAATTGATTATTTGTAATATAAGTTATATTTAATTGTTTAAGAGTAGATATTGTTCAAGAACATTGCACCAATATTGGCTGTTTTTATCAACTTTAATTTGTGTTTTTTCCATTTTTTTATTATTAATAATATATGTTTTTTTTTAATTTTTGTATTTTTGACTCAAAAATTGTTGTAACATTACTTAATTTCGAAAATGTCTAAATTTATAAATAATATAATTTTAATTTAATTATTTTATTTTTATCTTGGATGATGTGGGGTTTTTTTCACATATAATACTTTAAGTTTATTTTTGTTGTTTTTTTGTTTTGTTTTTAAATTAATAACATTAGTTGGGCGAGGAAGTCCGTCCTCCTAACGCCAGAGCTATTAAGTCCAACTACAGTATATGTCTATCCATAATGATCCGACAACTTATTACATACGTTGCTTTATGTGCGGAATTTTGTTGGCGTTTCGTTATTCTTCGTTTTCTGTTGTTATTGTGTGAACGCTCATTAATAGCGAAAGGTTTGAGCTTTTGCTATTTAAGTGTAACTTTAATATGAGGCTCACCAATCAACTGTGTCCATAGAGACTTGTCGTTCTTCACGTCGCGGACAGCGGCCCACTTTTTTCATATATGTGCCATATTCACAGGTGGGCAGCTTGCAGCGACCCTCCAGAATGCATCTGCAAAGGAAACAAAAACAAATAACATTTAATTAATGAAACTATTTTTATAAGCAAAAATTTTTCTGAATATTCTTCTCAAATACTTACTTTCTATCATTCATGGAGAAGTGTTCCATGCCGCGTTTTAGCCAATCACAGCCCATATTACCCGACGAACAGTCGCATCGACAGAAACCATCTTCTTGCAGAATTTTCTCAAACAAATTGGGACAATTGCAATTTAGTATGGTGGCTCTTCGCAGATAGGGTATGTGATTTGAAGCAATTTCCGACGATGGTTCGTCCGCTTCATATAGAGCTGATCGTTGTTTCGATTTGTCCACACAATGACACTCTGTGTGATTGACAAATGTGAGTTTTTCTATTGAGCCTTGGGTTTCATTAAGACTTATAACCTGAAAATAAGTTGAGAATAGAATCGAATAAAATATTTTTAGGGATAAATGAGGTTATTGCTTATCACTATAAGACGTAATGTTTAAAAAAGCAATAATATAAAAATATAAAATATAATATAAAAATATTTTAGATATTGCCGGGATCGAATAATTTTACTGTCCCCGTCTGTTTATTAATTAATTGTTAAAAACATTATTAAGTGCAATGCCTATATCAATTCGTTACTCATTTCAAAATTTATGAGATTTGTAATTTTTAAATTACTGGTACAACTGTGATTTATATGACAAATTTATTTTATATCAAAAATTTAACCATTTATGGGATGATACTAGAAGAAAGGTGTAGTAATAAATTGGATGCCGTCATATGAAATTTCATAGTTTTCCAAAAATTTACCTTGCAGAATACAGATATACATATATTAGAAGGAGTGGACCGATGGGTAGCAATTTCAGATTTTACGATGTGCAAATGTTTACAATGAACGAAGTTGGGGAAAATTTCGCCTTTAACATAGCCTCATATTAGACTTTATTTATTTTCCAAAGGAATGGTTGTATCGAAGTTTAGCATTAAGCTTTTGCCAACTCATCATAACGTCCCAAAAGATTTTAAAAAATATGAATCTTTCAGTGATTCAAAATATCTAATATTGTTATTCGAACACAAATTGTATCAAATTGAAAATAACATCAACCCCTCAACTTACATATGAATGCGTTGTAAAACAAACAAAAACTTTATTTATTTATTTGTTTTATTCATTAGTTCTAATAAATTCTAAGCTACTAATTTCATTGGAAGATTGAGTAATAGATAATGTCAAAGTTTGACAGTGTTTCTCTTCTAATTTAAATTAATTCAAATTCCCAGTGAATTCTCAGAATTTTACAACTTCAATTTATTCTATGAATTCTCATGCAATTGTCAATTCGAAAAACAAACAAAATAAACTTTAACTTTTGTACTGGCGCTTGCTCTGTGGCTGGCAATGCAACAACAATGGGCTCATAAAAGCATCACTGGTAGCAATAAACAACAACAACAACAAAAGCAGCAACAGCAGAAGTAGCAAACAAAGCAATTAATTTGCATACGAATTAATGCATTTTGATCTTTCAACCGAAAGAATGAATGACAAACCACCAGGCGGTTGGTCGGTCGGGTGGGTCGTCCAACCAGCATTCAATAGTAACACTCGGCAAGAAAAAACCACAATGCCATCATCAACAAACAATGGTGGCGAGAAAGCAGAGGGCATACCGGCCGGCCTGTTCTGGTAAATGAATCTCAAATTGTTGCACAAAAAAAAAAAGACGACCATAAAAAAATTGTATCTGTTTTTCATTCTTGATGGAGTGCCTGTCTGCCTGCCTGCCGGATAGCATGTCCAACATATGAGTTTCATAAACATTTAATGAATTAATTATGATGAGTGTGCCATATAAACAAAATTGGACATCAAAAACAAGAGCACTTCCACACAGTCAAAAACAGATACAAAGTCGTAACACTCGAAAACTGAAAATCATAAAACTGTAAAACCATCGCCGACAATAACAAAAATGTTTAATAGAAGTAAGTAAAAAAAGTGTCAGTCGGTGTCGCCGACGGATATATACCCTCATTCAGCCTATGGTTGGTAGACTATCTAAGGAGAGGTACCAGAAGGAGTAGACCGATATTCCCCATCTTCGAACTTGATTTCGAGTTAATAAAAATGCGGATATGTGCCGATTTTAGGTACAATCGGACATTCCATTTACCTAAAATTGGATAAGCCATAAGGCTGAGGGTTTAAAAAATTGGAAAGCTATATAATGCCGCCATTCATACATCCCCTACTGAACCAAAATAACAACTACCATTTGACGTTAAAAGTCTGACCCAAATGAAAGTTTTGTTTTTATTTCAGAAAAAAAAAACAAACGGATCTTCAACATTGAAATTAAATCAAATGACGATGATGATGACGACAATATCATTGCATGCTCGGCTATCATTTCCCCAGCAAATGTGCGTTTCAGTATCCCCAGCAATTTCTCTAGAAATTAAAATAAAAAAAAAAAACTAATTAAAAGCCAATAGCTGAGATCTTCTTACTCATCTTTTTATGGTGGACCACTACTCCAAAAAAAGAGTAGTTATCAGATGGGTATTAATGGCGTCGATGATAGGATATGCGTGTAAAATTATTTTCTGTTACCATTTGCATGTTGAAGTGTGTACAAATATTTCAAAGGGGACATCTCATTGACACTCAGACACTCCATCAACTGCCGTGTCTGTACGCATATGTATGTATGTACGTAGTAGAAAAAAAATGAAACATTTGCTGATAATGATGCTGTTAATTTGCATTAAATTACCAACGACATATGGGACTTAACAGAGGCGTTTTTTGATGTTTTATTTTGGTTATAGAAGGGCCCTTATGATTGCAGATTCCATGAAGGAGACGTAATTTAAATATAATTATACCCCTAACTACACTTTGGTGCAGGGCATTATGTCTTTGAGCATATGTATAGTTCATTTATTTGGACCAAGGACGAACTCCATTGAAATTGATTAAGACCACTTCATATTTAGATATAACCAACGAATATATTTTCATCCGATTTTACGTAAATGGTGCACACCAAAGACCCGATGTTAGGCCGATTGACATAAAATTGAATAACCTACTGAGATTATTATGTCTTAACGTGTTTCGGTGAAATCTGTTCAGATTTAGATATTGCTCCAATATATATTTGTATCCGATTTTAATGAAATGGGGCACAAAAGACTTAAACATGGGCCATTTCACACATAATGTTGCACAACGTACGTGTACCAATTTTCATCGATATCAGCTTGAGGGTATAGCTCCCATATATATTTTGGCCCGATTTTAATTAAATGGTGTACTAAAGACCCAAAGATAGGCCGATTGACACATAATTTGGCACAACGTACTGAACGTTAGAGTGTGCTTAGTTTTAGTGAAATAGGTTCAGATTAAGATATAAATGAACCCAATGTTAGGCGATTGGTGCAGATGCAGACATATATATTTACGGCCGACTTCATGTTAATTGAGCGTCAAATAATCGTCGGATGGCCGATTAAGATTAAAATTTTGCACAGCACAGCTGCACAGCACCTTCTGTTGAATATACCTAAAGTGGCGAAGGATATCATATAGTCGGAACCGTCCGACTTTACAACTCTCCTTACTGGTCTTGAATGTTCATTACGGTTCATTCATATTGTAAATTATTAATCTTTAATATTACAGATATTCAAAAAAAATATCTGGAACCGAACTTCCAAATTTTTTGGGGAAAATCTGTGAAAAAGTTTCATCACTGGTATATGAGGATTTAAGAAAAAAAAAACAGGTTTAAGTGTTGTAAATCAATTGCAATAGGGAGGGTTTAAATATTTCGGTGGATGTGGAAAATTGTTTGGGTAGACCAAGGCCACTATCGTTAAAATTGCCGATTTGGACCTGTTCACTGGACTTATGTTTATTTTTTGTGTACTGGGTTGATCCGCAGCACCAGCACAAGTAATAACTTTGTTTATTTTATGTCTGCCATTATGTGGACAATATCTGTCAAACATATGTTAAAAGCAAAGAAAAAAATAGCATCTACAAAAAGCCAAGTCCAGTGTTTGTATGTTTCCACTAAGAGATCTTTTCGTTGTTAGTTGAGTTTGTCATATGTTTGCCATTTTAATTTTTGCTTCATGAATATCAAAAACACTGATGATGATGCTGATGCTGCTGGTCGTGATGGTGGCGGTGACGTGAAGATTGTTGTAACTTTTCCTTTGTGTTCAGCAAACAGCCTGATGTCTGTCACAGTTTCGTGTCATATTTTGACAGATAAAAATAAGTTCATAAAGTCTGTCAACAGCAGCAGAAGCAGCAGCAGTAATAGTGGCAACATAAATGGACGAAAATGTCTTCATTAAGTAGCATCACGGCGCATAATTGAGCAAATGAAGTTAGTTGACTGTTAATGATGCCGATGTTGGTGTTGTTGCAGTTGCCGTTGCTCGTGCCGATGGTGGTGGCAATTGAAATGTAAAAATGCCGTTTAACGAACGGGCTTTACATGGCTGAAGATTGCTACTGGAATTGAATTAGTTTTCCCCGTTTTTCAAATGTCTCTGTAAATATGGGTCTGACGTTGTAATTGAGGCAACCACAGCAACTGACAATCGACGTAGACTTTTTACCACAAAAATATGTAAGAAATCGTGTTTAATGTCGTTTTATTGGGGTTTCTGTTCCAACGTATTTTTTTCTCTCTCTCGCTTGCTGTAATTAGATCCGTGTCTGCCACAAAATGTAGCAGAAAATGGCATGTGGTTTGGAGATGCCGGGTAATTAAAATAAATTCACAAATACCAAACAATATTAGTGGCATATTTTGTATGCCACAACCATAAATTGTGTATGAAACGGTTAGTAACCATAATAACGTACTTTGGTTACTAAGGTTTCATTTGAGATCAAAGGATTGGAATTGGAATAATTATTTCATTTAAATAATAATGTAAAATTCTCTCAAAAAGTTCTATCTCAAAATTTCTCCACTAATTTAATTTTTTAATTTCCAATTTAAATGTGTCTGTGTTTGCCAATGGCATATCTTTCTTTAATTAAGAACACTTCATATACCTTCGAGTGTGCACAAACCTTGAAACTCATGCTCACATGCAAATATTCCTCTAGTGGCCTTCAAACCCCTCAATGAAATTACTGAAACGTTCTCGCATTGAAAGAAAAATGGAAAAACCAATAATTTTTTGTAGCATACAACCAGGCGACTGAGTTTTTATTTTTAATTTGTATGTGTTCATATAATACCCTCCATTTTTTACATTCAAAAACAAAATTAAGTTAGTATAGGATTTTATTTGTGATATATCGTACAGAATCGGAATGAAAAATTCTGAAGGGGTTTTGTGGTATCTCCCTCACCTTAAAATTTTA